TCCCAAATAAACTACAGAGGGGAACTGGGTATAGTGGCACAGCTCTAATCCCAGCAATTGGGAGGCTGAAGCAGGCCCATCTCTGTGAGTTTAAGGCCAGCCTGGTCCATAGAGTGAGTTCCAGAGAAGTCAAAACTGTTACAAAGCAACCCTGTCTCAAAAAAAAAAAAAAAAAAAAAGGAAAGGAAGAAAAAGAATAAAATAAATATAATCATGAGACAAATCACTAGAAATTTGAAAATTAAACATCCTTTTTTTTCAAGCTTACAAAATTTGTTATTTGCACCTCACCAAACCCTCATGATGAAATGCTTAAGCGTACTGTCACATCCTCCTTGCAAGCACCTAACACTTATTTCCTCCGGCTCCTCTTTCCAAGTATTTCACAAGCTACTGCCAGACATTTGGCATTCCACTTGCTGGAGAAGGGAACATGATTAGCATAATGCTGAATTTTAAGACGAAGATACCCTGTTACCCTGAAGCCAAGTGTTTTGTCTCTTCTTTTTATGCCTAAAGAACATCTTTTATGACTAAAGAACAAGATTATATCACTCTTTTTTAAAAGAGAAATGCTGAATATTAAAAAGAAATAAGAGAATAAGCTTTTATTTCAAAGTTAAGTGTGGCTTTAAGTCATTTGGCTCCTGTTCTTCACCATGGCTTTTATGAATAATGAGATGGTTCAGATCTTTAGAGAATTTGTTGCTTCTTGTTTGCTAGAATAAGTTATTAAAACAATGTCACCCCGCATTAATCCTTGAATAAGACAAACACTTTGAAAACCTCCTTAAGCAAGTTTTGACCCCAAATACCACTTCAACTCACATGTCACTAAAAATAAATTTGGTTGAAAGAAAAATTTCCCAGTTGATTTTATTATTTATGTGAAACTTCAGAGGTCAGAGGAAGAAATCTCTTTGATCATACACTAAATCCCTCTGTCTAAATGCTAAGCCTGCACAGTAAATGAGACACAAGGTCTTTGCTTTCCATGGAAGAGAAACTCAGATGTGGGAGCAAAATGGCTGTGACACCTGCCACTCAGTTGGTCACCACAGTTGATTCAGCTGATATGACTGGCTAGGTGCATGTCCCCTCCCTCCCTCATACTCTAAGTGTGTCCCTCCCAAAGCTGCAAGCTGTTACTAATTTCCACAGATCTAGAAACATGGTTTGCCTAAGACAGCTAACCTCTAAAGGTAAACAAGAGTCAGCAAAGTACATCCGGAAGAAACCAGCTGAAGCTCATTTTCCGGTACCGGCATTGTTTATTTACAGTTATTCAGACTCTTCCCCCTTCATCTCATGAGTAATCTCCAAGGTTCTGCAGGAACATAGCACAAAGAACACAGGCCTGTGGGACAGCACCACTCTCTCAATGCCGGATTGTTTCCTACTAGGGTTGGGGAGGAAGTGAATCTGAAAGCTCCAAACAGTTTCAAACAAAATCTCTTTACTGGAGATTTACAAAGAAAAAATAAAACCAACTCCAGTCGTATCAAACTGTGAGTAGGAAGGAGGATTTAAAGGGATCATGTGAAACTGGTTTGTCAAATGTTGCAGATATTAAAGTTACTATTAGTTGTATGTTAGTCAGTAATAAAAGAACTGAACAAAATTATCTGTTCCTAAGGTGCTTATAGGACCTCCAATCATAAAATTCTGAACCAGGTGCTGATTGATTCTAATAGGAAATACACGTTCAATAAAGGAGAAATCTTTGGCCTAAATTCATGTTGTAGCAAGCAGGAAAAGAAGGCTGCTTCATTTGTATTAACTTTGTAATTTATAAGGCTATTCAACTTAGACATATCTCTAAGAGACAATTCATCAATTGGAGGAATATACTGTACAATCTACTTAACTGTTTTTGTTTCAGTGAGCTGGAGAGTATGCACCACAGAGGAGGCCAGTTTTACATTTGTTATTTAAAGCAAAGCCTAGGAATGTGGGGGGAAATAACTCCACAGCATTCTTCTGGATGAGAGTCTGCACGGCCAGGCTTGTCTACTGCCTGCTGCTGAAACCTTCTAGCAACAAGCTTGAGTGTTGCAGCAGCAAGACATTCTGAATGAAAAGAAGAGGGTTCTACCTCTGATCTTCTCTGGGAAGGTGCTAGGACTGTCTTCTGCTTTCAGAAGACATGATTTGCAAGCTTGAGGTCAAGCCTGTATTCCCAAGGAAAGAGGCATGCCTTCCTTCCATAGTGGAGACCAGTGGTCTATGCTTTGGGGAGGGGGATAAGCATGTGTTATTAATGTCCTCGGATGTGTGGATGCACACACCCATACTCGTGTATGCAGAGGTTGGCCTCCTTATCACTCTGCCTTATGCCCTTGAGACAGAGTCTCCCACTGAACCTGAAGCTAGTCTGGCAATCAGCATGCCCCAGTGACCCTCCTGTCTTTGCCTACCACAGAGCTGGAGTAAGAGGCACATGAGGCCACTTCCAGCTGGAAAAGAATCTTTCTTTTTTTTTTTTTTTTTTTTTTTTTTTTCTTTTTCTTTTTTCTTTTTTTAAATAAAATTGGGCAGTGTTCAATTTGTTAATAACATCTGTTTCCCTGGAAAAGAAAAACACATGGCAATAAGAGGGTTTTCCCAAAAGTCACAGCAACAAAAATTAAAATGTAAACCAAGACATAATTCACTTAATAGCCACAATTATCTTTCTTTTCTCATGATTCCTTTTTCATGATTATTCTCTCAGTTTTAGGAAGGGGCTGTAATAAACAACCCATCCCCCTCCCTATATATTGCTTTGTAGTTTATAAAGTGAGATCATAGTTATGAACACCTTTGATCTGCACAACAGTCCTGCTTTCTCTGATTTACTGGAAAACTGATACTAGCAAATGTAAACCACTATCCCAAGGTCATCAGTGTTAGAGTCTGAATCTCCATCTCCTAGATCACATCTGCATTCCAAACAACCACAGCTGCCCACAGGAAAAGAAGAAGGGAAGGAGCAACGTCCATTTATATAAACATGGGTCTTGCTGAAAGTGCTTTCATTATAGTCAATATTAATTTTTAAAACATGTAAAGAGACTCTGGCCAATAGAATAATGCCACTCCACATGAGATGTATGTCTTACTTCCCAGCATCTTCCCTGTGAATATGGAAAATCACATGCCATAAAAGACTTGGCAGGTGTCATCAATTGCAGAACTCTGAAGTGTTTAGGTGTATCCAAGAGGCGGGACAGTTATCAGTAAAGTGAGGCAGCATTGAATCCTACAGGCACTGCTGGCCCTTACTGAATGGAGGGGCAACAAGCTCCTAGTTCCCCCTGTTGGCTCCAAAAGAAAACATCAATGGCTTGACTTCAGTCCAGTGAAATTCATTTTAGATATCTAACTTCTAGGACTGAACATAATAATAAGTATGTGTTGTTTCAAGCCATTTAGAGGCAGAAGGGAAAGTTCAGTAGTTGTGTTTTCCCGCACAAGGTCCTGAGTTCAATTCCCAGTAATAAAAAAAGAAAGAAACTAGAGTTGAGATCACTTATGACATCAGTAATAGGAAACTAATACTGGCTTGTACAGGAAACAGAAGTAACATTAGCCTGCTAAATGAATGGTCTCCATACTCTGATATATATGCAGTGTTTTGACTGAATGAATATATATGTACCACATTCATGCCTCATACCCAGAGGTCAGAAGAAGGCATCAGATCCCTTAGAACTGCAGTTGCAGATGGCTGTGAACCCCCATGTGGATGCTAAGAACCAAACCCCAGTCCTCTACAAGAGTTACAAGTGCTCTTAACTCCTGAACCATCTCCAGCCTCTCTCTGAACTTTTAAAAAATATATAGATATATGTATGCCAGGCAGTGGTGGTACATGCCTTTAGTGTTGACTGTTCTGCCTCTGTGAGTTGGACCAGCCTGGTCTACAGACTGAGTTCCAAGACAGCCAGGATGACCCAAAAAACCCTGTCTCAAAGAAAGAAAAAAAAGTATGTGTGTGTAGGAATATACCAAAACAAAAGTATATTGGAGCTTGAACATTTTATTCCAATGATGTAAATATAAAATTTGAATTATCTCTCATCTTCCTAAGGTTAACTTTTTTTTTTTTTTTTTACTGCTACTACCTAGATTGACTTTGTAATGTATTCCAAAAATAAAATTAAACTATTATCAGTAACACAATATAATTTTTCCAATGTTTTAGATAAAAAAAATTGTTGGTGATTTTTTTTTTAAAGCCACTTATTTCTATTTGAATAGTCAAGATGATTCCTGAACTTTTTTTTTTTGCATCCCACCAAGCCTGGGATACATTCATGTTGAGAGGTAATCTGTAGAGGTCAGTGAGTGAGTCATGCCTCAATCTGGCTCCCAGAAAAACAGCAGAAACCGCCAATGTTCTTGAGAGCTCCTTCTTCCCAGAAGAGATATAAACTTATCTTAATAGATTTCCCTAAAATGTCTACATATTGACACTGTCAGTTTAAGTTGGAAGACATCCAAAACAATACACAGAACTGCTGCAAAACACTTACAAATCATGGGTGGGGGTGATGATGCTACTAAGCTGTTGCTTTAAAAAAAAAAAAAAGATTTATTTTATTAACTTTTATTTATGTGTATGAATGTTTTGCCTGCACACATGTATGTGTGTGCATGACTGGTGCCTTTAGAGGTCAGAAGAGGGTCCTGGATCCCCTGGAAATGGTGTTACCGATGGTTGAAAGATGCAAGAGCAGCAAGTGCTCTTAAACACTGAGTCATCTCTCCAGCCCTGTTGTTATATTTAAAAAAACAAAAACTAGGCACAAATGGGCCTGAGTATGGTGGCCTCTATTCCCTGTTCTCAGAAGATAGAGGAAGGCAGATATCTGTAAGTTCAAAACCAGCCTGGTCTACATAGCTAGTTCTAGGCTATTCAAGGATACATAGTGAGACCCTGTCTCCAAAACAAAACAACCAAGCAAATGGCATTATTAAGAGAATGGACAACAGAGAATGGACAAATCAAGGTTTACCTTTTGAATCAAACTCAATGGGCTGGCACCGGCGGCTAGAAGAGCAGTCACATTTGAGAACCTGCCCTCCTTCCACGATCCCAGGCTGCGTTGTGTTTGCTTTCGGCGCTCCCACCAGGAGAAACATCCTGCTAAAACACAAAATGGCAGGTGATATTTCAAAGGACACAAAGGGTAAGATTCAGATTATGATTCATGGCCAAACAGTCTTCTGATACAACCCACAAATATTTTTTAAAACTATTTTCAAATGGCACAATTTCCCTGTTATAAAATAATTCCTGTTGCATTTGCTTAAAAATGTACATTATCCAAACTATACATCTTAAAATTTTAGGTTTATTTATTTTATGTGTATGAGTGTTTTGCCTACATCTATGCTGTGTATCTCAGCATTTGTGCCTAGTACCTAAGGAGTTCAGAACAGAGTATTTTGTACATGTCCTGGAACTGGAATTACAGACAATTGTGAGCTGCTTGTGGGTGCTGGGAATTGAACCTGTGTTCTCTAAAAGAACAGTCAGTGCTCTTAGCCACTGAACCATCTCTCCCACCTCAAACTGTACATTTTAAATACAAAAGAGTTTTGTGGACCAGTGACATAGTAAAGGTGATTATTACCAAGTCTGAAGACCTGAGTTCAATTCCCAGAAGCTACATGGTAGAAGAAACCTGACTCCCAAAAGTTGTCCTGACTTCCAAGCATGTTTGCCATAGTCCACATGCCTAGACACACACACACACACACACACACACACACACACACACACACACACACACGCGCGATCACTAAACTTTTTTTCCCCAAGTTCCCTTTTTCCCCTTCCCCTTTGTGAGACAAGTCTCAGCCTATGGCTGGCCTGGACTCACAGAGACCACCCTGTCTCTGCCTCCCAGTAGTGACAATAAAAAGCAAACTTTTTCTTTTCTATTCATTCAAAAAATACTGTGGAGGCTTGGCCCTATTTGCTACATCAAGCTCACTTCTAGACATTGCCCTGTCTACAAAAAAACCAGCCAGCCAACAACTCACTCGACATTACAAGAGCTATGCAAGAGTCAAACAATTGTTAAGAGAAGATTTCTTAGAAATAAGGCAGGAAGGCCTTCCATAGATAAAGGAAAGTTATCTCCCAGGAATGGAGGGTAAAGAGTTCCTGTAAATAAAGGCACTGCTTTCTAGGAAGGAAGCAGTCAGAGGAGAAAGGGAAGAGAGACCGTTTTTAGTCTCTATGGAACTTACAGTGCATTGAGAGAAACCTGCCTAAGAGGTTTCCATAGGAGAGGACTGAGGGGGAAGAAGGTGAATAAATGGTATGACATGGTGGATGGGAGCACCCTAAGCTCTGCATAAACGTCCTGGGTGAGAAAGAACTTAAGTCTCCAGGACAGAAGAGACAAGTGGTGAGGCTAAGCAGAGACAGCAAACTGGGAGTGGCCCAAATTGGCTTGGGAGCCAATTTTGGCAAAAGCTAAATCATGAAGTGCCTTTCAGACATAGTAAAACCACCAGTTTTATCTCAATTCCACTTAAAACCTCAGAAAAGATGACTTTCTTGCCTTTAGAAAAATAAAGAAAAAGACAAAATGGAACAGAGAAAGCAAGCTCAGGGAGGGAATGGTGATCTGTATTAGCCAGAGGGGTTGGGGATGGGAGATACGAGAAATACTAAAAGTAGAATGAACAGAGCGAGATAGCACCAATGACTGAATGTAGATATGCAGTAGACAGAAAACGATCACCCAGCTCTTCACATTCTAGCGCTCTAGTTGAGGGAGTCAGGGAGAAGAAGGCAGATCCCAGAAGCACATGGACTCAGTTCTCACTCTGTTCGATCGCTATGTCTGTGAGGCACCTAATTAATAACCTGGAAGTTGAAGTCCCAACACAAGAGGCTAGAGATGGCTCAGAGATTAAGAGCACTGACTATTCTTCCAGAGGACCTGGGTTCAATTCCCAGCACCCACATAGCAGAATACAACTATAACTCTGGTTTCAGGGGATCTGATACCTTCAGACCAATGCAAATAAAATCAAATTAAATAAATTATTTAAAAAAGAAAGTCCCAACACAAAATGGACATCTGTACCCAGGAGGAGTTTAGAGAGAAGACAGACAAGGGTGAGCTCTGAAGGGTAAGGAAGAGAAAGGGATTTCATAAAAGAAACTCTCCTCCTTGGTTTTCAAGAACTCCACAGATTTAGTTTAGAGGTGTCAAAAAAGGGTATGCAGAGAGAGAGGCAACACTAAGTAGATACATTCATTGCCACCATTTCACTTGGCTAAACAAGTCACTGAAATTCTGGCAAAGGAAAGCTCACAGTTACGAACGCACATCTGAAATATGAATGTACCTATTGTGACTTTTAGAAATGAGTTTCAACTTATGTATTCTAGGTCGTAGCAGTCACCTAGACAGAAATTTGCTGTGCGGACCGCTAGTAAGTATCCTTTATCTTGAAATGCACGTATTCAAAATGCAAATTAAACTCCAAACCAAGCCACGCCCTGTTTAATAAATCTTTATGAAGTCATGTTTGGCAGCAGTAAAACACCAGTATTGGCCCCTCTCACATCATAACAAAATAATTCGGAGAAAGAAGCCAGCTTCATTTTCTCTTAGCAAAAATATTCACAAGAAAGAAAATAGTAACAATAAGGCTAAGTATGAGATTTAAGCCAACTACAAGATCAAAGAAATTCCTTGTCATCAGAAACCTATTCCTTTCAGAGCATGTTGGTTCACACAGGCAAACCAGACTATGCAAACGTTCTAGCTGTAAATATATAAAGTGTGTGTGTGTGTGTGTGTGTGTGTGTGTGTGTGTGTGTGTGTGTGTTCTCCTCTCAAATAGACTTTTTAAAAAAGCCACAAGTCTGGATATGCAGCTGAGTGACACAGCATTTGACAAGTATCACTGAAGGCCGGACTTCTAGTAACACAAAACACAGGTAAGGTGAGCAGGTGCTCATTAGATAGAGTGCTTGCCTCACCTGCAAAAAAAGAAAAAATTACAATCAAAAGTTTAATCCCTAGTATCACCTAAAGTCAGATGTGATGGCACATGTCTATATCTCATCAGATAGGAGACAGACAGGTAGGAGGATCAGAAGTTCAAGGTCATCCTTGGCTACATAGTGCTACATGCCAAGTTCAGAGCCAGCCTGAGCTATATGAGACCCTTTCTCAAAAAAAAAAAAAAAAAAAAAGAAAAGAAAAGAAAAGAAAAGAAAAGAAAAAGAAAACAAAAATTTTAAATGATGGAGAGGGTACCATGGATGTCCAATTTTATATTTAAAAAATTATTTCTTTTTTCCTCAGTGTATATTTTTGATTCTAATAAAACTTTATTTATACATACTGGCAATGGTCAGATGTGGCCCATGGAATATGATTTTTCCAATCAGTGACTTCATCAGTAGAGAACTTGGATAAGAGCTCAGGTGAGAGGAAACTGAAGTTTGAAGGAGAATGCCTCTCATAGCCTCACGGATCTTAATACTTGGACCACAACTGGTGGTATGACTTGGATGAGTTATGGAAACCTTGATAGATGTAGCCTTGTTGAAGGAAGTACATCCATGGGAGGGAACTTGAGAGTGTATGGCCTCATCCCACTTAAGATCACTCTTTGTGCTTTGATTTTGGAGTTGAAATGTGATCTCCCAGCTTCTTAATCGAGCCACGGGAACCCAGTTGTTCCTTCCATGTGTCAAGTCTAGATCATGCTTCTTCCCCTACCCCTTCAGGCTTATGTGGTGACAGTGTTCATATTTCCTTGCTCTGCCCTTCTCTCTGACTACATTAAGGCTGAGATGAAAGCTTTGGGACCAAAGGAGGGAAAAGGCTGAGTCACAAAATGGCTGGTCGTCTGGTTTTTGGAGACCATCTATGTGCCCCTTTTCAGTATCTGCATCCTGAAGACGACTTGGGTCCTTCCTGTAGAGTTCCTAAGGTTCTTTAGTGTGTGACCCACACCAGGTTCCAAGTCAGAAGAGCTGGTGCCCAGATTTGCCTTGACATCCACAGCAACTCACTTCTAGATTGTCATTTGCACATTTCTTTTTGGGGCCTTCTATATATATATATATATATATATATATATATATATATATATATATTTTTTTTTTTTTGTTCAAAACTATTCATTACTTATGAGAAAGTGCTTATTTGAATGTAGGGCTCTAATTCAGGCTTCTGCCTGAGCAGGTAACAACACATTCATTAGCGCGAAAGGTCTCTGTCTTACACTAAGAGCATAACAGTAAGTCATTTTGAATGTACTCCAACTCTTGGGCCACAGAAACCATACTTTCCCAATCATCCAATTATTTAGGCTATCCTTTAAAGAATTTCCTCATGTAACAATTCTATTTAATTGTGTATGTCAGATATTTTCTTGACTTGGCAACTCACTAGTCATTAGGGGATGGCCTTTGGCAAAAGCAGAAGGGCACAGTAGGAGAGGGCACTGAATAAAAATGTCACTATTGGCAGCATACAGTGTGCATGCCTGCAAGGAGCCCCAAGCCCGGGCTGTTGCTTTCACTGGGCTGTCTGCATATTACAGGCATGAAAGGGTGGCAATTAGAAGAGCTAATGTTGCTGTTCAACCCGTTTCCCTGAACATCTTGTCATGTGCAGTCTTGCCCACTGGTGAAATGCATACAAACGGGAGAATAATACAATGGAACATGTGATGCTGTGAGGATTAATGGTTGGCCAGTAGAGAAAATTGCTGCCAATCCTGACAGCATGAGTTGGATTTCCAGGAACCACATGGAAGGGCAGGACACTCAGAAGTTATCCTCTGACCTCTATATGTGCACCATGGTGGCAGAGTGTACACACACTTACATACATACACAAAAAAAATAAATACATAGAACACAAAGTTTAGAATATAAAAGTTTCTTTATCAAAGTAATAAGTTACTTTTAAGATACAAAGTTTTTTTTTCCCCTTGGGTTTTTTTTTTGTTTGTTTGTTTGTTGTTTTTTGTATGTAAATTTTTTCTTTGAGGGGTGTTTATTGTTTTGGAGGGTTTTTGGGGGGAGGGTTAAGACAGTGTTTCTTTTCTGTTGTAGCCCTGTAGCCCTGACTGTCCTGGAACTCACTCTGTTGACCA